TCGCCCGCACTCCAGCCAGCCCGAATCGCGGCTCGACTCGCCTCCTGACCCAAGGCACGAAGATCCCGCTGTCGAGGAGACGGGTGAACAGGACGACGGTCGTCATTCGGAAAGGGCCATACCTGCCGACTTCTACCCTACCGGTCTCGCTCAGCTGCAAAGTGAATTGGAGGGGAAATATACGGTTCAAAACATTAGCTTAATTTCCTACGCCATCGCCGTAGATCTCAACTGCGTAGACACTTCCGACGACAGTCCACCCGCGCGATGTCTCCTCGCCAATCGCAATCTTGTTGCCCGGGAGCATCGAGGAACCCCGTGATCTCTCGTTCGTTCTACCCACTGGCCTTTCATCCCGCATATGGTAATTTCTCCTCTCCACGACGACCCGCATTTCTCGACAATAATGTCCTAGCAGTGATGAAGGACAACATGAGTCAATGGTGGCGCTGATCCGCCACGTTACGGCAACTTCCAGGTGTACTCTAACATTCAGTGGAGTAGTCGTCACGGGATGATCTACTGGCGACCAAGGGGACTGGCGACCGCCGCTTTGACCCTCCCTGGAAGTCGAAGCCTCCGCATCCAGCCGTATCCTGGCTAAGCGACAACGCCTGCAACGTCAGCTTTCTGGGACTCAACACGCCCGAGGAGCCGCGCCTTGTACATCGCCGCTTTTGTGAAGCTTGAAATCCACCGTACTGAATGGACATCAGAGGATGTATGAGCGGTATTTTTTGAAAAATCCCGACAACAATATCATTGGCTGAAGCAAAAGGTGAGTTTGCCACAATTGGCCTATAGGGGATGCAAACATGGGTCGTTAAATTTTCGTGAATTGCCGGAAAGATGAAGCTGGGTACTGGCTCAACTGAGGACGGGCATGGCAAGACTGAACAGCTATCTTCACCGGATCAATGCAGCTCCGACGGACCAATGCGCATGCGGGCACGCACGAGAGACGGTCGAGCATTTTCTCTTCCCATGTACTAAATGGACGGCATTCCGAACCGAGATGCTCCAAGTTACAGCGACACACAGAAGCAATATATCTTTCTACCTAGGAGGAAAGACACGGATAGAAGACAAGTCCTGGACTCTCGACATGACAGCAGTCCGGGCAACAATACGGTTTGCGTTAGCAACAGGACGACTTGAAAACACTCGCTAACGAACACCCCATCACCTTTCTACCGTCATTTTCGACCCCTACATTCCAACTCGTGCCGGAGAGAGTAGCCGCGCTTCAGCCGCCGAGGATAGGACGCTGAACACTTGAAGAATCGCCTTCAAGCTGGACTGCTACGGTAAGATTACTAACACGAGAATCCGCAAAGACATAGCCGGCGAAAGACTATCAAGTGCCGGGAGGTTGTATCTTCAAGCTCTACAAGCTTCCGGCCATATGATTTGCTGGCATAGTGGTTTCCGCTCCATCATCAAGAACGACAGGCTGGTCGTCTTTGGGGATGCTGCTGCCAAGGCGGCCTTGTGTCGAAGATGGTTTGATAGTGGCCGAAACAAAGGTCGGAAATATCCACATCCTCACCCGTGGCTCGGCTGATCCCTGCCCAAGGTCAATGGACTCAGGTTGAGCAAGCGCTGCTGGGGAACAGAAACCTCAGCGGGGTCGGCTACGCACGTGGTCTGCAGGACTGCGTCATCCTGAATCAGGGCACGCCATCCGTCTCTGACAGAACGATGGCGACCACGGCGGAGGCAATTCTGGGCGCGGTAATACTCGAAAGCGGCGCGGATGCTTTGCATGCAGTCCTCGTCACCCTCGGCCTGAAACATCCATTTCTCGAAGCGGTAACGTTCCATCTCCCTGTCCTCCTTTACGTGCCAGATCAGCCTCATTGGGGACGTGATGGCGGGCGCGCCACGCCGTTCATTGCTTTGTCACTCCCAGCGTCGTGTCCTAACGCATGACAGCAGCAGGAATAGAGTTGCCATGTTCCACAATGCGCATCATCTGCCATTTGATCACCGATATGTACTCCGGTGGGGAAGCAACATGGATAGGAGACGGAAGAATAGGCGACGTGTATCTGGTTTCCTCCCCGCTTGCGAGGGAAACATTCATTGAACTCACCATGTCCGCAAAACCTTACTCTATCCGTCAGAGCGCCATGCGGTAAGTCCTCCGTGGTCCCGCCCACCTTCATTCAAATGGTATCATGCATCGAGACCTCAAACCGACCAACCTCATGATGGTCTCATATGACCCGCCCTACGCTATCATTATCGACTACGGGAGTGCGACTTTCTCTGAAACGTTAGATGATTATAAGGTTGGAACTATTGCATACTTGGCTCCAGAAGTTTTAGCAATCAATGCCGGTAAGAATAAGGGTTCTACATACACCAAGCAAGTTGATGTGTGGGGGATGGGTCTCACCGGATTCCAGCTTTTCTTCCAGGAGGAATGTACATGGAAGAATGGTGTCGGGCTGGATGAATGGGAGATAATCCAGACGAAATTACGTAAGCGTCCTGGAGTACTCTCCAGGTTGCTGGAGAGTATGCTCGCTCGGAAACCCTCAGACCGCCCACCTGCGGCTGATCTAAAAGATTCAGAAGCGTGGCTATAAGCCTTCGAGTACTTGATGTCTTTTGAGGAAAAATGGGGTATCTAGCTCCGGCCCCTCTCTTTTACGATACAGCCAACGCCCAATGACTCTCTAGTTCGTAGCTCAGGTGTGCTGGGAGAGAGTGAAACTTGAGGCCGGTCGATCTGTGTTGTGGAAGCACGGCCCTCAAATACCACTATTCCCTCGACCCCGCCGAGTCCCCGCAGCGTTCACAACGATCTGGCACCGGAGATTCAATCAACGTTGCTCCCGGTTGATCGTCGCTAGGGGCGCTCTCGCTGCGCGATAGGGGATACATCTCAATCGCTAGATTTGGCCCGATAGGTATTAGTCCTGCTCTCACAATCGGAAGTGATTCTTCCGCGCTTTCGGCTACTTTGTCGAAAATAGGGCCCTTGTGTAGATTGAATGTAGGAAGGAATAAAATTAGATCATGCCCTTTTCCGGAACGAGGGGCTACAGAAGCTGATGTTTTGACTCAAAGTTGGGGGAGGTGGTAGATGTCGTACTGACCGAACAATCATATGATTGATTGTACTGTATGAAAACTATCTGTGTGCAACCGTATGAAAGGCCGCTGAAGCGCGAAGAAGTGTCACGTGACCATAGCGCTATGACTTAACCACAATTCAGGCACACACCATTGTGTAATATAAGTTACCTTTACCTGGGGACACTAAAATTATCATTGATGCCTTGCGGCCAGCCAGAGTCGGACCAACGCCACAACGCCCGTGGGTCGAAAACGGATCCCATTGTCCTGAACATATTTTCTTGTGCACGATTCCTGCTCTCTGGGTGGCCAATGACTCTTGCCCCCTCCGCGGCACCCCTGCGCTGAGACGCCTTCCTTGAACGAGAGACGTTGGTGCTATCTGAACGCAGCTTCAACAGTTTGTTGGAAGAGATCGACTGAAAATTGACACACGGTAGTCGCCGTACCTGAATCAAGATCGCTGCATACAAATATCCTCTGCGGGAGGATTCGGCTAATAGTGGGCGAACTTTCCATTGGCACACGCGCTCCTGGCGCGGTTCCCCCGGCGACACCACTCGCGTCTGACGCACACCTGCATTTGTGTTTCTTTGGGTTCGCAGTTGCCATACTAAACTCCCTTGCTTTTACGAACGAGCACCCACCACGTTCCTCTCGCATCTGTTGACGTGCAACCTAATTCTCAAGACATGGTACAGCCGCTTCCTAAAGACGATCGAATTACCGACTGGCTCGACAATATCGAAATTGGCTCCGATAGCATCGACCCCGCGCAGTCCTGTCCTCCCCCAGCAACCCCGACCTCGCCTTCTGCGCATCTCAAGCGTAAATTGGCAGCTATGGGAGACAAAACGCCTACGGCTAAGCGAACACGAGTCGAGATCCCCCTACTCACACCCACCCAGAGTCTTCAGCGCACCGCTAGCGAAGATACGCTCAGTTCTACCACTGTATCTCGAAGTCGCAGTTTAAGCCCCCCCAAAGGGAAGCATGAGCTCCTTTTCATGAATCCTAGCATCTCTTTCCAACAAGAGGAGGATCTGGTGCCTCGGCAAGCAGAGTTCGAAAAGACAATACCGTGTTTCAGATCTCTTATGCAGGCAGTCCATAGTGCACGCAGCCGTCTCCCAAAATCACTCGAGGTGAGTTCTTCTATTACTCGTATGGAATCAGCGTACATGCTCACAAGCACAGGGTTTTCTACGTTCTCGTCTCAGACCGTATCAGCCTGCCCTCTTTGCCCCGTTCTCTGATGACGAGGATCTCGATGTCTTCGATGATCTCGCCCAGGTTATCGAAGAGTGGGATGGGAACATTAAGCATTGCAAGGAGGAGAACGTGACTGAGGACGAGTGGTGTGATAAGCTAGTCTATAAGATGCTGGAATCAGCGGCAGGCAGATTAGACATTTCTGCGCGGGTGGAGGTCGCGAACGTGTTGGTTTTCTCTCACTGCTATGCAAGGACGTGTCGCTAATTATTGTGCAGCAAAGCTATCGACATCTCGCCTCCGGCACTACTTCCGACAGATGAGGGCAGTCGGGGCCAGAAAAAAAGAGTCGACTACACGATATGTTATAAACTCCCTGACAAACGTAAAGTCGTCAAGACACTCAGCAAATACAACACTCGCTCCTTCACTCAATCAAACCATGATAGACTTTGGAACCGCGTTTTGTTCTCTCACGTCGAGGTGAAACGGCAAAATAGCCCAAGGGATGGAGAATCACAGTTGGCCGTCTGGACTGCGGCTGGGTTCAAGAAGCTTCAAGAAATACGTGATTGGCATCTGCAGACCAACTGGACGCGCCCGGCCGCCCAACCATTGTGGCTGTGGGAAGATGACCAGCTCAAGCTCTACATTGCGTTGATGGAAGCGTCTGAGGAAATGGTCATATACGCGCTCGCAGACTGGCAGCTGAAGCAAGATGCCCAGCTGGTAAGTGCACTGATTTGCATCACTAAGGTCATGCAGTGGGCGATGAGGGAGTATCTTCCCTGGTACAAATCTATGGTCGGCTATGTTGACGATGCTGAGGATGCTGTGGGGGGAGACACGCCTGCGGACACGAGCGGTGAGGTGGACATCAGCGGCGGCCAAGGATAATGTGATTGTGAAGCACTGAACTTGCTAAGCGGTTGCTGGATGAATGTTGACGCTTTTTGCATCTGCCCATCGGCCACACACGGTGCACTCCATACTTTTGACCCAGATATGATAGAGCTAGCTTAGCCTAAGCTCAACGAAACCCACTATCATATCTTCGGCCATCAATGTTGAACATTTGAATATTTCTGTGATACCTTGTCAGTTATTTTTCGCCATAGTAACTCTCTTCGCAACTCATTCTACGTTTCGCGGAGAGATTCAACCCGCAGCGATGACGTCACGTCTTGAGGACTGAAAGTCCATGCAGGACTCTTATCGATAAACGGCGAGCGCGGAAACCCGTCCTTCTCATTCACCATAGTCTCATTGTTGTAGTTCACAAAGGTCCGGCCGTCGCAGACTCACCAGACTTCTGTAGGGGGGTTGAACGAGGGCTAGACAAGAGGGTGAGGGCCCTTGAAAGTTGGAGCCTGTAAAGGACATTGTCACCGTCATTATCGTTTCTGCTATTCGTAGGTAGCTTCACATGTTGGATCTGGGTTTAGTGGCAAGCGACACTGTTTGCTGCCAGACCAGACCGCCCAAGTGCAAGATGACACGACCGCGACAGGCCAATGATAATATTGTGGAATGGTTCCATAGGATAGGAAGTGGGGTTCGGAGTCTGTAGTCTGTGTAACAGCGCTGGAGCAGGCGGTGGATAGTGTGTGGAGGTGCACGACGCCGATGTTGTGACATAGTGGTGAGATGGCAACTCACGTGTGTTTTGAAAGAGAGTGGGGAAACTCGGAGCATAGGTTCGCGACTACGTCGAACGTTGAGTGTGGACAGTGACACAGTGTGGTACTTATGGTCATAGAGGGGACGTAGCTGAAAATGCGCCACGCGAAAACATGCGGCATGGCGAGTTATTCATTGCACGAGCAAGGATTGTAATCCCAACCGCTGCGTAGAGCGTACTCACTTGAGGAGCAAACATGCCTTGTAAGCCTGCCTCAACCATCCTTTGCCTCTGCAATGTGCCTCCACGTAATGCCACTATTTTTCCGCTGCCATCTCTCGCATATAATCAAAATAATCACACCCTCCAACGGCACAAGTAAAGTGCAACGCCCGCGGAATGACTTGTTCGTCTTTTTCTCCGGCAACCTGTAGTCGCGGCTTAAATGAAAACTTGGACAGTCACAAACAGGATTCTCAAGATGAGTGCCACTCGTGTCCGGGAAACAGGAGAACTTTCCCCAGGCTGGACAGGTATAGAACGGGTCGTCCGTCATTGCTGTTATCGGTTCGTACTGTAATTCTTCTCTCTGTCTGTTCTGAGCAGGTGGGATTGCGACCATAGGGTGGCGTGTTAATTGCCCAGTGATTTGCCCGGGGATCCATCGCGGGGAAGGGCCTAGGGTGCAAGATGAAGAGCAAAAAACTTGGAAGGCCGGGCCAGAGCACTTAATCGGGTCTCTTCGATCGCACACGGCGCAAAGCACACAAGTCCTCGGGCCGCAATGCTGGGGTGGGTTTCGGTGGCGCGACTCGCGGCGAGAGACTATCGGTCGCCTACACTTCGCGCAAATCGCCACAAGCCCGCGCTCATTGTGTGTATCGTCAAGTCGGGTAGTGAGCTGAAAAAGGGATTGGTGGCATAGCGCAGATCCGGACGTGCTGGTCCCAAGGGAGCCTTCCGGGCCCGACACACCTTGGAGATTGTAAGTGCAGCAGGAATGCATTTTCTCACAGCCCTTCCGGGGTACCATTGCTACGAAGCCATGGCCCCTGTTTGTTTCCCGAAATGAGAGTACTGGGTCTCTACGGCTTCTTCCAGAACGGTAAGCCGCAGGAATACCTGGAGGCTGCGGCATCGAGGACTGGACATTTGCCGGGAGTCATTCTGGTTGGTCAGTTCGCAAGCACAATGCTGCTGCACAAACAACCTCGTCACCCCTCCATTTCCGTAGCACGAGTGACGCCCGTAACAGCTTGATGATTCGATCCTCCAATGGGTGCTCCGCATTCTGGGCAACGAGCATGCTCCATGGGCATCCCACATTCGCCGATAGCAAACTGGACCAAGATCAGTGTCGGCGGCTGAAAGCGGAGAATGGTGCATAGTCCCCGCGTCGACCCAAGCCGATCTGGGGCTGAAAGGCGGCGTGGACTACCACTGCAGACGGGAAGAAAAAACCAAGGATACGTACCGGATGTCCGTTGATGCAATTATACCAATGGCCCGAGTGCGTTGCCATTCCCTTCGACCCGCCTACCATCGCCTGCTTGATGGAGGCGAGCTCGGCGGAAGTGACGGGTTCGTACCATTCCCTTCCTAGCAACTTGATACTCTCCTCGGCCGCCGTTTTCAGCTGCTCGGCGTTCTGGAACGGCTGGTCGCAGAGCTCGACAGCCTTTCCTAGTAACTCTCTTGCCTCGTTCGCGTAGCGTGTGGCTTTCCCGTCGTCATTGCAGCCAGACAACCCAGAGGACCGATACAGCTGCACAATTCTCGCAAAGTACAGCGAAGCTTCGACCGCAAGCTTGGGAAGACTCTCAGTGTTGCAATCTCTGATGAGCGTCGCGCAGATCTGGAGGAAAGGCTTGGTAAGCTTCTCGGGAGAGCCGCCGGCCATGGCCCATTTTATTGCAGGGGCGCTCGTGTCGGCGGACCACGAGGCTGCGGCGGACTTGGCCGCGGACGCAATGTGGAACTTGTCTTCGAGGACGATGCATTCGGCCTTGGTCTCCACCATTCGCCCACCAAGCGTAATGCGGCGGTCGCGCTCGACCGGAGCCACTGGGTCGGTTGTGTCCGCGATACTTAGGGATGCCATTGCCTCATCGGGAGATTTCGAATTGTCCACCCTGGTGGCGACGGCGTGGACTATTGCCTGGTGGAGTTTGTGGGCGGGCTGATGATGATCGGCGACCTTTCTGAGGAAGGCGCTGATCTCTTTTCCCAGCCGACGAGATGATTCGTATCGAGTTTGGACCTGTTGGGCAACCTTTTCCACCTGCCTCGCTCGATCGCGCTCAGTGATGGCGCGGATCATCTCCAAAAGAGTGTTCTTGAATTCTTTTTCCAATTCATCGACCTGGCGTTCGAGTCCGCTCAGCTCCATCTTCCCATTGACGAGGAACCGCTTGGACATTTCGTCGATAACCGCCCGGTTGATCAAGCGGTTGTACCGCTGCGTGACATACTGTCTCACCGGACGTTGACAATCGGGGCACTTCGGAATCCTGCTGGCCAGAGCGCCGGATATATCTGCAAGCCCTGCGTATCGGCCGGCCTGGTCGGTGACGTAGACATCACACATCCCTACCAGGCCATCAAGGGTTTCTGTGGTGAAGAAGTGGCCGCATCCGAGAACGACGATCGGTGTTTTGTTCACATCCACTTCGGCGTACGTTGTCATCTCGAGGAGATCCACTCGGGCGCCTTCCTTCGTGCCACACCGGTGGCAGTAATCCTTGGGGCAAGTCTCGCCGCACACTCCCGGGCATTGGTGACCGCAGGGGAGTTCTCTGGAGCAGCGCTGGTCGCATGGTAATCTGTTGCAGGGAGCTGAACAGGGCATGGTGCATCCCCCCTGGTGCTCACAAGACCACGTACACCTTTCGACACATGGAGCACACGCTTCCCCGCATCGCCGCGTACACTGGGAGTGTTGACAGCGGACCTCGCAAAAAGACAGGCAGGGACCACAATCATTGCCATCGTGACAGCGTTTGCGACACGTGTGATTACAAGTCCCAAACGGCCTCCCGCAGACTTTCTCACACTTTTTATGAGAAACAACACGTTCGCCCGGTCCGGTCCAAGTGTTGCATTCCCCACAAGTACCGGGACAGGGGTGGCCGCAAGTAAGGATGGTGGCGCAAGCCGTGGTGCATCGGAAACGATCCGACGCCACGTCCAGCGAGCAGGCCACTTCCAGGGTGTGATCGCACCCAGGGGCTTTCTTAGGTACGAGACTCTTGCAATAGATGGTCGCAGTGTTTTGTGCGAGGTGGCATAAGACGTCGTCTTTCAAGTGGCCGCAGGGCAGCTGGACGTCCTGCAATCGGACCTGACACTTTCCACAATCCTCCCCGCAAGTTTGTTTCTGACATGCATGCTGGCACGGTTCGTGGCGGCGTTGACACGGTTGTGGACATGAAAACACACTGTGCATGCTTTCTGAATGGCATCTGGCCTGACACATGTGACCGCAGTTGCCCAGACGCCAGGGGCAGGCCAACCGACATCCCCCTTCCGGACTCAGCCTGGGAAAATCCTCGGGCTCCGAAACTTGGATGGGCGTATCTGGATGCCGAGGGCAGCAAAGGCCCAAGGAGGTATCGACGGAGTCCGAGGCCCGGAGCAGGTCAATGACTTTGGCCCACATGGGGACGTTCGAATAAGTATCCACGTTGCCAATGAGATACATACCATGCTGCGCGCGACTGAGGAGAACGTTGATCCGATTCGTCGTCCTGAGAAAGCCCACCTTATTCGCGTTATTGCTCCTCACCAGGGACACGATGATAACCTTGGCTTCTTCACCCTGGAAGTTATCGACGGTCGCGACCCGGAGGAGTTCGCTGAGCTTCTTCTTCTCCAAAGGCGCCTTCCTCTGCTGACCGGACTGGTCGTCCCTGCCGGTCTCTCCCGGACCGGTGGCTCCTAGGCCGAATCCGTCTTTCTCTAGCGCATCTTGGTCCCGGTCACTGAGAACGATCTCGAAATCGGCTCGCAAGGCGGAACGGAGCTTTTGAAGTTGCCCGGTGTACGGGGTCAAGACGGCGACGTCGCTGCTGTCGTACACTCCCTGACGGACGACATGGCGGACTAGCGCATGCACCATCTCCACTTCCCACACGTTCGAATGTGATTTATGGTGCGTTTCGGAGTGTTGGCCCTCCTCCAAATGATTGTGGTCAAGCCAAAAGAGATTCTTTCGCATGCCAACAACGTCCGGGAGACCGGCGGTGCTCGCGTGGTCCGATAAGCCGGGGTAAAGAGTTTCCCGAACCAGTGATGCGATCTCTGGCCGCATCCGCCGCTGGACATTGAGCTGAGCGACCGGCATCCTGGGCCTCCCCGGCTGGCCGACCGAGAGTCGCTCAAATTGACTGCGGTCTAATTGATACAACGCACCCTGCCTGCTCTCCAGTGACAAGGCGACGAAATTATTGATCTGCGGGCGCAACTGCTCATGGTCGCCAATTTGGATGAAATGTTCGATGGTGGGAAGCAACGCAGAAATCATGTGCGCTTCCATGACCTCCCCCGCTTCTTCACACACGACGACCTTGCATTTTACGCGCTTCAGGGTCGAAATCCGTTTGGCGAGGCCCGTCGTCGTGATGCTAATGACATCGGCCTGTTGCAAAACCCGTCGGTCGACCTCATCATAGATATTGGTCAACTGCCGTTGCGTGAAATCGGTCCTCTTCACTTTTTCGAAGAGATCGTCTAGTGCGTCGTCATGAATCTCCTGACTCCAGAATTCCACCAGCATACGTCTTTCTTGTGGTAGCAACGAGTAAACGTTGGTTTGAGCCTTCTGAAGGACGGCATCTAGCTGCTGGTCTCCGACCAGGAAATTAGCCTCGTTCATGGTTCCTGGTCGCGTGAACGACTTTCCAGGTGGCGCCCACCGCTCGAAGGGATGAGGGCGGACGGCCTGGAATCCGTCCTCATCAATCTGCCGAAACTGGGCGCAGATACGTGGATACTTTCGCTCAAGATGGTGTCGGAAATGGGACCAGTTCCCTCGCTTCCGTACACCATGTATTCTGCCAAGGTCGGCTTTGATGCGGGTTTCCTCAAGGTCCAGTGCATCATAGTGCTTGGCAAGGAGACCCCTTTCCGACCTGGTCTTCGCCTCGGTTTGAGATACCTTCCGAAGGTTGTGGTCTTCCAGCAGGCTCGACTGGCTCTGGCCTCCGATCCGGACAATTTTGTTCACACCGATCATGAGTAAATGTTCCAAGAACTGATCCAAAGCGTGGTTCGTATAACAGCTGGTTCGTCGTTAGCGGGGTACTGAATGCAAGGAACAGCGACTCACACGACAACCACGGGTCCTAAATCGGCGGTTTGCTTGCATTGCATGAGGACTTTCATCAGCTGAATGCCCAAGTACGACTTCCCAGTGCCGGGCGGGCCCTGAATAAACGCGAACTCCTGGGTCAGTGCCACAAGCAACGCGCGACACTGGCCACGATCCAAACTTGTCCGAGCTTCCATTTGATCGACGATTGTTGAATCGTTTGCGGACGAAGCTGGGTCGATAGAGATGGCCCCGTCATCGAGACGGCCGGGCGTGAGAAGAGAGTTCAAGGAATAGATGAAACCGGGTTTTCGGGCGTACAGCGGTGGGGGAATGCTGATCATGGTTGTTTCTTGCAGGTCACTCATCCTGTCAGGCAGAATCCATCGGCGGAATGGCAGTCGGCTCAGCCGCTGCATGTCCTGCAAATTTTCAAGTATGGGAGTGAAGGTGGCGGGCAGGATGCCGGGAAACTCGATCAGTCGCCCGCGTGCCTTGTAGCAGCTCAGGCGCAGTGCCGATTCGACATCCCTCTGATCGTGACTCGCTAGCTTGGCGGTAATCGTGCCTTGATGGTCTTTCATGGCGAGATGATGACCCTTACCAGTGTCTGTGTGTTTTCGAGTCACGGTGAAGAACAAATGTTGAACCTCGCCCTGCTGACATGCAATGAAGGAGAGGAGGACGCCTTCGACAAGCCGTCTCGATTCTTCCCACCATTTCCGTCTTTCGGAGCTGGATTTCTTGCGTGCGGCGGTGGGCATCGTAAATGACAGGTCCAGTTCGAGCCCTCGGCGACTATCAAAGGACACGTAGTTGATGTACGCGTCGGCGTATTGGTGAGCTCGGAAATCACCAAGATTCAGCTTTGGGTTGGTGGGGTCGTCCTCCACGGCCTGCATGAGACCACCGAGCAGGTCTTTCAATTCACCAAACGTGTCATACCGAAGCAGGCGGAAGTGCGTGTCTAGGTGACGCTCAGCTTGGTCGTCGAGGAAATGGGCCACGTCCGGGTCGGTGGACGGCAAAAACTCAGGCTCGTCGCTCAGAATCTCCGCGCGGGTCGGGAAGATCTTGATTTTGGTCATGTCCGCCTTGTCGTTGTCGTGGCGATCTCGAGGCATGACCAAGGTATGGGGATACCTCGATGTTGCTGTCCCGGTAGGCAGCGCTTCTTGCTGTTCGCCCTCCTGGACCAATAAACCTTTGGCACGAGAGACCACTGCTCCTACCTCGCTCATGTGGCCAAGTACAATTGGGGAAACTTGTGAACGCGCGTCTTCAGCGATGAACCGCACGGCACCTTCCAGAGAGTCGAGTAGAACCGGAAGGTCATCGTTGAATCTGACCCGTGGCTCTCTTCTGACGAGCTCGCGGAGGGCGGTCGATGCGGCGATGAGCGTTGTTTCCAGTGGTGAGGCCCTGGCCGCGGACATACCATCAAGGTGTGTATGGACCACGGCCTCGCACAGATGCTGGAAGAAAGGTATTGCCCGATTGCCATTCGGGCCACCGATAAAGTTATACAGAGCCCCTACAAATGTATCCACGGAGAGGCAATCTAGGAGAGCCGAATGCGTGACGACGAGGAGGAAAGGTTGGACGAGTCGAACAAATCCGCCGTGGTCCCCAGAACTGGTTCGCCTGTTTAGCAGCGTCCGGATGTGCTCGCGACCGTAGTAGTCTTCGTTATCCAGGTCCCTCGGGAGCGTCTGCTTCCATTCTTGTTCATCCCCAGTTAGTATTGCAAGCGCCTCGTCCCATAACTGTTGCATCGTCCATGTGTCGTCTGATCGTGGGGGCGTCTTGAGGAGCCTTCTCCAGGAGTGGTAGTCATCCTTGGCCCGCCGTTGTTCGTCGGTCTCTTCGACCCTTGGTGGTCGCGCTTGTTGGGGACGCTCGCCACTCTCTTCCGCAGAGCGATCATGAGAGAATTTGCACCTTGCCCCGAATCTGCACAGACCGGTCCTTTGGAACTCTCGACACAATCCGCGGGGTGTTTGGTGCTTGCCCCATCCTCGTTCCGTGCCTTTGTAAAGATTATTCACTCTCCCAAATCTTCCCCCAGCGTCTTGGAAAGATTTTCCACGGCCCCAATTGCGCATGATGCTGGACCGTGCCTCTCGCTTAAGGCGGAACAGACAGAAGGTCAGAAGATGCTGTTTTGATGAGAGCAAAATCCACGGTAGTGAGGCTGGCGCACCCAGTGATCATGGCTGGCAGGGGCGGCTGAGCGAACTCTCCATCAGTCTCGTGGAACGGACATCACATGCCGCCTGGCCGGGGACACTCCATTTTCGTTCTGCGGCATATGTACTGGACAAACGCAGCCAACCATACACCCCTGAAGGCCCCACACGGCCTTGTCATTATCACTGCATCTCGACTCGACCAATTAGCGACATTGGTGGCTGGCTTGTGCACGGTGGCGATCGCCAGTCCTCGTCAGGTGTCCCTTTACGGGACGCAGATGAAGCGGTCGAATTCGGTGGTCGGCTTGTTCAGGGGTTCGAACGGCTCGTCGCGAACGAGATTGGGCTGCAACGCAATATTGACGACGTCACCCAGACCAATCAAGCAGGGAACGGTGCTCGAGGTGGCGTCGTATCTGCAGGCCAATTCTAGGATGACACGTCGCAAGCTGGTTTTGGGGAGCCAACTGCGGCGCGAGGTTTTCACTTCCGAAAAGTTCTTGTCTGTGGACTACTGTACAACCCAGACCCCCAAATTGTCGTTGCAAAAGATGAGGTGCTGTACTGTAGCTTTACATGTGGTCCCTTCTTTTCTCATCTCGCTCTGGCCCACATTTTCTGCATCTCTTGCGGCAAGGCAGCCCACTCGTTAGTTTCGGACCATAGTTCCATGTTTCCGTGCCCTGTTCGCCGAATTTCCAGCCGCGACCATTTTTCCTCTGGCGATATGGACACGAGTGTCTTGAGAAGCGTGTGAAGGAGCCTCATCGATTGGCAATTATCCCTTTCCCACCTCTGGACGCGGTCTTGGGCGTCCACGATGTCGATGTCGATGTCGTGGAACACGCCCCGTCGATGACGAGCTAGAATGAAGTTGGGAGTCTGGTTCGTCCATAGGCGACTCAGGAAATTCTCGGACTCCACAGTATGCGCACTCCCAGATGATCGTGTCTTCAAGTCGAAGATGGCCCTTTGCGGCACGGGTGTTCCAGCCAGACGCACTACGAGATCGTCATCCAGGTGCTCTGTACCCTTCCTTTCCGCCATGTTCATTCGCCCCAACTGGTCGTCTACGCTTGCACCTGAACCCGTTGGCTTGTTATTCAGCAACCTCTTGACATCTTCTGGCACTTGATCTTCCAAGTAGCCGTCGCCCTCGAATCGAAGGAGGCAATGAAGTTCCCCAAACTGGTATCTGATGATGCGCTGGTGAGAGGCAGAACCCTTGACGATTGCTGGCCACACGGTGTAAGCTTCGGGAAAAGTATGTCCATATCCGCGCACGTTCTCGATAAGCTCTTGTGGATGATTCGGCTTGCGGACCAGGAAGACGGTGTTTGCAATCCGGTGCATCCCAAATCGGAACGTCCTATCTTCACCGCGAACTGAGGCAAGCAGGCTTCCCCAGATACTGGCACAGCAAAAGATATCGATCTCGCGACTGGGAAAGTTTAGATCTAGGGCGTAGATGCTTTGCACCGCCGGTGCGAGAGGCCATCGTGGATATCGAGCGGCGTTGGGGTCGCGGTAGTACTGGCCACTATCTTCCCTCAATCGTTGGAGAGTGGCCGGTGGCAGCCATTTTGGCGGTGCTCCTGGCATCACAAGAGTCAGTGGAATTGTAGCGGGCGAGGAGGCTTATATACCGGGCACCACAATGGTCCGCGAAGCATTGTCCAGCCAGTTGTAAGACGCAATCAACTCGCAGCTGGTAATAACTGGGTCGGCTACTCCCACGTCTTCAGAAGCGGAAGCAGTGGGCTCCAGCGATCTAAGAAATTGTTGCTCTGGAAGGGGATGAGGCAAGCCACTGTCTTTGCTTGCCATAGCTGTCCGACCTTTAGAATGTGCGGTTTTGTTTCTCCATTTGGGAGCAGGTGGGTTCCTGTAATTAAGGCATGACTGTGCGACTCCAGGTGTATGTTCTGGGAAAGGTGCGCCGTGCGTCGAAGCGTGAAGTAGAAACCATAGACATCTATGTGTACTCGCTTTTATTTGTGGAAAATCCCAATGAATGGACTGTCAGCGGATCAAGTCCCAATTCAGCATGCAGGGTTACATGGTCCCCGCGAACGATCCATGTTACGGCGCCCCAAATTTCGACCGGGGAGATTTTGAGCATGTGCAAAAGGGTCTCCCTGCACGTCAAATTGTCTGTCGTTAGGGCGCATTCTTCAATCGTCCAGCTTAACCACGCTCTCAAGTCTCTGGCCCAATTTCTCTGACATAGCCATGGCGATCACACTGATCTTGCATTCGGCGAAAGTAGGAGGTGATATGTCTTCTCGTGGGTTTACCGCGCGTGCTCAGAGCGCAGGTGACCGTCCAACGTCAACACAACCACCTTCCATGCTGGTGGCGGTGCTTCCGGTGGAGATCAACAGAGCAATACATCCGCCAGCAAGAAGTCTTCAGTAGCACGATGAATAGGGCCGTGCTCGGGCCGTTGTATCCGAAGTAATTGACAAAGAACAAAGAACTTTACTCCGCCAACAACCAGTTCCAAGGGTACAGCTCCAATAGATGCCAGGATTAGGCATGACATCTCCTCTCGATCAAGTGTTGGCTTGAAAAGTCTGACAGTTCAGGTCAGCATCCAATTGACGATCAGCTTGTGATAGCGAGTCTGCAGCGTGAATGTGACGAAAGCTCATTGGGGAGCCCGTAGAATGGAGGGCGATCCGAAAGTGATCACCTGCAGTAACGGACACTCTGGGTCCGCCACCCAGTCACAGGCACTTGTCGCGTGAACCAGTAAATAGACGAGTTGCCCTCGAAGCCTCCTGCAGTATGCGACCCGGGGCTTTATGACTGAATGAATGGTATCCCCGCCCCTTAAGGAGACAGATCACGCGGCCCATATTGTCCACATAGCCCGTGCGGACATACTCTTTGGACGTCCGTGCGGCCGTTTAGCCAATAGTCACTCACATGTTCAAATCCGCATGAATGCCTCAAGCACGCGACTCGCCATTCTAGAGTTGAGATCTCGTTGTGCCCAACCTGGTGAAAGGGGCTTCAAAATTCGATCGGGCACGTGAAGTGAGTCCGCTTAGCCTCTAGGGGACTCGTAACTCTGGCCCGGCGCCTCGAGACCACTATTGGACAAAGGAGTTGGAGCCCGAGTGTGGCTACACTTAGTAGTGCATGAATGGAAAAAGCGGATTAGGTGTGGTTTCTCGGGAGTACATGAAGTTCACGATACTGTAATTGTGAGTCCTCGATGAGCTCCCTGTCGCCGCGGGGTCGGACGATAGGTCGGCCACAGAGGACTGCAGGAGGCGGCCCAGAAATGCGGACTCCGGACCCCTTGGGATATGACATATGACAGCCCCTCCCTGTTCACCGGTTAGGTTTTAGTGCACCAGTAAGATTTCGGGAAACAGCAATGGGAATCGCAAAAATGTCCGACTTTCGACGTTACCCATTTGGCGTTCCTCTAGGAGTTGCAGGCATTGTTAGCGGTCGGTCGCGCGGCAGCAGACTTTCCTTAACCCCGAAAGCAATCGAACATTAAAACGAAGTCAGGTGTCTTTCAGTACACCTGCCTAAACAACTAATCTTAGTCGTCCGTCGATAAGTCACTGGTTCGGCATAGTGGTAGACGTCGTGTGTGCTTGGGGGAATCGAAATTGTCTCGGCGAGAGCGAAAGCGGCCCAACCGGGCGAACGATGTCTTTCTCTCTCATGTGATCCATGGTGCCACGAGGCGAGAGCTTATTGGGATGGGCGGATCAGCCCCTCCAGCGACTCGTGATGCTGAAGCTGATTACAAGCCTTCTCGTCGAATCCTTCATTCCGGGCCACACGAAGGCATAACTTGTGGGTCGTCTCCCACTCGAGACAAGTCGCGACAACATTGTCCTTGCCACCGGGTCCGGCCGCTACGAGCGCCGCGTCGTTGAGGAAGTTACGAAGAGACTGCTCATCTCTCCAGGGCCTAGCCATGACAATATCCTTCGAGCGCGTGATGTGAGCCTTACCCTGGGATTGGCTCTTGACTTCTAGCAAAATGGCGTTTTCGCAGAATGCCACTCTGTCCAGGCTCCGCCACGGGTTATCAGAAAAGCCGATGTCCATGTCTCATCAATAGACGGGACTTAACGTGTGGTATGACTTGATGCCCTTATCCCCGAGTAGCGGTATGTTCCTGTTGTTTATGCGATATCTGATCTAAAGAGTTCAAACTGCTCCCGTCCGTGGCCGTTGATCTGGTCGTTACCGGGTAGCTGGCATGCCAACAATGGTTGGGTGTCCTCACCGCCACCAGCGGGGTATTGTTACACTATGTTTTGGTCGGCCAATGAAGCCTGCCAAAGCCAGTGTCGTGAGTCTCCCCGCTAATCTAAAATGTGATACCCGGCGATCTCTTCGATTTGGTTCATGGGCCGCAAAAGCCTCGCTAACGGTCTGTTCAGTTTCTAGATCTCCGAGTGTTGTTGGGAGGGGTAAGGGTGACGCCCCGAGAGATATGCGTCCCGGGACATGAAACCAAGAAGCGCCGATCAAAGGACCCACCACAGAATATAAGTACTTCGAACTCGCCGCAATTCCAACTGCTGATTGTCCGACATGGTCCATGCGGCCGACGCGGTCCAGACAGCCACGCACAGCAGCCAGAACTCTCCTCAAGACTGCGGCAACTGCAGCAGCGGGGTTGTGTTGCTCTATTCTTAACATCGTCTCCGTTTCGCTTTGGATAGACGCTATGGCATTGTCGAGAGATTCTGAACGTACGATCTGGCGAGGTAGTGCCACGGGACCCTCTTGCGTTCGTGAAGTAGGCTATTGAATGAAACCTGCAGCTACATGTCTTGCAAACTCTCGTGCCAAAAGGTGGTCTTCGTTCCATTGAGGACAGACGCGAGTCTTCCAGCGTCTTCCACAGATGTGGCAAAGTTGCGAGCCGCAGCAGCACCTGCGACTGGTAGCAAAACGGACGCGAAACGGACGGTCGGGAGCAAACGTGATGTGGTTGCAGCCAATGTCGTCGAGTCCGCGACTGCCCTCGGGCGAGGTTCGAGAAGGTCACCAGCAACAACCGATCCCTGAGCTGGGCTATGGCGACGACGCTACCGGCTGCTCGCACCAAACTCGGCTTCTTTGCGAGAGTTTTTATTATGTGTTTTCCAGCGGATACCATTCCGGCCTCAAGGCGTACTAGAATCGGAGTGTGCAACGTAGTAAAAGTGCAGCACGTGAATCAACAGCTTAAGTATGTTTGCGTCTACGTAGTGCTAGCATCTAGGTACTAGATGCAGAGGAATTGCATGCCAAGTACATCACGCCCACTTCCACTCCACGTACCGCTCAGCTCCGCTGTGGGAAGAGGCAAGCAGTGTCTCAAACTCTTCGTTCGCTCCGACTTGGTCCGGCGGCAACTTGAGCCTCATGGGCCACTCCTCGATGATTGTGTGTGGTCGTTCCATTGTCAAGCCCAAATGGTATCCAATCTCCTGGAAGTGTTCTTCTCTCATATATCTGCAGATCGTTAGCATGCTTCCGTATCAGAGAACTTATACGCTGACCGTTGGAAATATTTGTCATTGTCGCGAACGAGATCATGAGCCGCGGCCCGTTGAATGACAACAGGGTCATATGCCGAGCGTAGCCGACGTGTAGCTGGAAGATACTTAGCCACTTTCAGTGCAAGAGATTCTATCTCCGCACGATTTGGAGCGTCGAAATGAGCCGTTTCAGCTACTGCATTCATGAAAAGTGTTATGATTGTTGCGTGGGAATTATGAATGCGCTTTTGTAGGAATGGACTGAGCAGGTAGAGTGTGCGACCTACTCCGAGGTAGCCGCGATCCGAAATATTAGAGACCTGCAGAATTGATCAGCACTGTGTCTGCAACACATTCTTTCGACCATCACCCCAATGCGCGCAAACTGGCGACTACCAAGTTGTCTCGGCAGGTCGTTCACGTCCGCGTTAAAGAGCTCGAACGCCATCTTTCGCGAAGCAGCTTGTCTTGCGAATGAGGACAGAAGATCTCTTAGATGATTAAATAATTTGCCATACATGTCGTTAGTGGCGGACCCATAGGACCTTTGGAGGACAGAACGTAGATCCCATCCATCAAAAGGGTCTGCTGAGTCCATCATTAGCCATTGCTCTTTATTTTGGGAGAAAGTACTGGGACACGTTAGGCCAATGTCACGGGTTGTTTCAAAGCTTGCCTCACGGATTAGGACTGTCGAATCCTTGGCGAGGTTGAGCGAAGGACAATAGAATTCCGTCTTCGCGGAATCTCTGCTTGCACACGCGATGAGGAGGTTTCTGCAGGAGGGTATTCCGGTCCCGGTAGTCTTTCCGCTCATGCGCAAGCGTTGTGAGATTTCGAATTTTATCGGCCAGGCTGCAAGATAAGCCGTTAGGAACCTCTAGAAAAGAGGGAAGGAGCATCCATTTCTCCTTCGATAAAGTCACGCGGAGAGATCTGGATCCGAAAGTCCAAGTCTTTCCTAGGAGTGTACCGTTCGGTTTGCTCTTAATTTTTACACAAACTTCTTGAAATAGTGGAAGAATCGAAGATTGTAGCTGACGTAGACGAGAAGACTGGAGTTTCGCTGAGTACCAAACATGGATGATGGTTTCAATATCGTTAGGGTCTTTGTCGATTTGTAACGCGGCAAGGAGCATAATCAAGTTCCGTGCGACAATATCAAAATCCCGGTCGTTCAGAATCAAGGAGATAGACTGTCGATACTCATCAGGCAGGCAAGCAACAGTCTTCAACACATTACGGATGTCTCCAGAAGCTATAGATACAAAGTGGTCAGCTCTATTGGTGGTAAAATACAATTGATCAGCCTCACCTGCGAACAGAACATGCAAGTCCCGATCATAGGAGCATCCCTCGTTGCGGTCCAGAGCTAAGACATCGAGTGCTGGCATGTTGCCCCAAAAATATTTCTGCAGACGACCATATGAGACCGCAGGGGGACCGGCGCCCACAAATGAGGGAGGACGGCCTTCTGTTTCCCATGTGGGCAACCAGCTGGACTTCATCAGCGGGCTCTTACAGTGGACTTTATGCTCAGCCCAATGCTCCTTTTGGCAGTCCTTCGCGCAGTACTGATCAGCACTAGTCAGCGACGCTTTCCAGATGTTTCCTGCTGAAATGTGGCCATCCTACCGAAACCAGGCGACAGCCACCGCAGGCTAGCTGCCCTACCCCGCTGCATGTCTCAGAACGGTGCGCTTGCCAGTTGGCACAAGGTATCGACGACATAATCTTCGACTCTGCGAGACTTTGACGAGATTAAACAAAGGCGGCGACAACAATTCTCGAATCTGTCAAGTCTAACGAACAAAACCGTGATTTTGAGGTTCACCGCCGCCTGCGATGAAGTGGGGTGAAGTGGGGGGAGTCAACGAATCCGCGCTAGCACTTGATAGGCATAGAGCGTCTCAAGCCACGTGGCGCAGAATTTAGAACGACGCCACAATTTATAGCCCCCACGTCCTTAACGCACCGGAACGTCAGATCTCCCGGCTTCGACCTGTGTTATGGAGACATAGGACCGTCGAGGTGGGACGGAGACTGGGGCGGAGATGTTGGGAGTGAAGTTGAGCGCGGTCACCCTGGATCCAGCTCGGCAGGCACCGCGCACCATCACGTCCTTCGGCTGCGAGGTATTCACATTTCAATATGGAACAACTTGGTCAGATGTGGGATACCGACCCGTAACGTATGCTGTCGTGATTATTTCCCGCGTTTCAGAGGCGCTTCCTCGCCTTCACGACCTTCGCGTTCCTAACTACTCGACGGTCGGGCGTCGGGCGTCGGCCATCAAAGCCCGGTCCTGCACAATTTGGGCCGCGACCGCGCGCCCACGGATCGGTGGCCTCGCTGTTGGTCCTTGGCGCGGAGGCTGAAAGGAAGTGGGGGGTTTGAAAGGGTTGGTCTCAGACTCGTCGGCATCTTCATCGGACCTGCGATCAGACGGCGGTTCACCGGCACTGGCTGTGGCGTGAGACGAGCGAGGAGAAACCCCTTCCTGTTTCCTTTCTGGATTTTCATCCCATACGCACTTGTGCACATCCATATACGCCACCGGGCCTTTTGAAGGGTCGCTACGCTGCAACGCAAGGAATGTATCCATCTACCATCGCGACACGGAATTGCTGCTAAGATTGATTCTCGGCTTGTAGAGCTGCTACACGAGCAATATTATCAGCCTGTTCTCGTGCCGGTGCGTGCGAGCGCCAGCAATGGAGTATGTATGAATCATAATCCTTTGTTTCCAGTTTCGGGCCTTTCTGATGCCCATTGAGGAAGACCGATGACTGGACGCGTATCCTGCGCGAGGAACGGGTAGTGCCCCTCTGTTCATCCGCTTCTATGATTCGGCAACCGAAACAAGAGGAAGAGAATCCAAAGTTCGAGCGACAACTTATCCTTGTCTATGGCGACCAGACGACGGTGGATAGACTTCGATGCCGTCAGCGAATAATCGAGGTCGCGCCGATCCGAATCCCACACCGGGAACACGTCCATATGGTTCTGTTCTTTCAATCGGCTTTCTGTTTCCCCTCATAAAGTTGTGTATACAACGACCATAAGGGGAGCATAATAGTAGATTGAAGAGTGTCCAACAAATCCGTCCGAGCACCGGCCGGTTCGCGACCAGGCAAGTCCCACCAGGACCATGTCGCCGTCTCTCCATCTCGTTGAAAGCTTTCCTCGATACGACCTGTCGGTGGCGATTTCGATATCATGGCTATAGAGGAATGGATCTGTGTCCTTCCCACGCCTCTTGGGATGAATGCTATCAACTCGAATGCAACGAGCGCAGACACTTGCGAGGTTTAAATTCATGTCAAACCACTTCTCGCGGCAGCGAAGACATTCCTCTAACTTGTCTGACTCAAGTGCTTGATGGAAATCTTGAATGCATTGCCAATCCGCGTCTGTGAGAGCAGGATTATCAGCATCATAAGGATCCAATGGTGGGTCAGGTACCTGGGAGATTCTCGATCTGGGTATTAACCACACGCTGTGAAGGACTCGCTCGACCAGTAGAACTGGAAGGAGACTGATCACGGCTATCGCCACCTCCACCACGGCCCACTGAGAGACGTGAAGCGCTGAAAGAGAGCCCTTGATTGTGACAGCCATGGCATGGTTGAGATTCCACCCCATCATCCCGAAAGAAGGAACGTCGATCCACCTCATGTCTGCCAGGAATACATCACGCCAGTTGATTGTCAATCACGGTCCCATATTGACCGGAGGTGCAATAGTTGCCATCGGTGTTTCGCATGCGACGTGCCGAGGCACGCGGTATCTCACAGGCATCGCAGATGAAGTATTGAGCTGCAGGTCATGGCGATTCGTCAAAGGAGGACTGGGAACGCTGTGAAGACGTGATCGGTAAACGTTGATCGACGGCACTATGAGGGCCTGCCTGCGGACCGAGGAACCGAGACAATTCGGGTGTCTGAGACGTTTTCCTCGCCACCACGACGATGGACGCGATGCTCCCTGTATAGCAGACGCTTCTTGGACATGTGTGACCCAACTCTTTCACGGCAGTCAATACATTGAGCTGTCTCCTTATTGCCTCGCTTGGGCTTAAAGTCTTCCTTAGGCTTGAGTTGGCCACAGCCGGAGCAGGTTTTGTGGGTATTCGACTGAGGACCAGGTCGATCAGGAGGTAGAGGAGGTATTCCCAGAGGTATTCCGATTCCGCTTGGTGGCGTCAAGGTTCCTGTGTAAGACAACGTGTTCGAAGCTCGTGTCGTCGGCAAAGCAAGTTTCACACTTCTGTCTGATTTGCCTT